CCTATTTTCCTCGTGGGAAAGTAAGTAATTTACCAAAGTCATCTGTTGAATGAACTGAGTCTGGAACCCGCCTCTGATGAATTCCCAAGCCCAGACTTATCATGACCATGCAGGCAGGACTGGCGTAGAGAAATAACTCTCTTATTATAAGGTCCTTCAGGTTCTTTGGGAGGTTTCCATCCTCACCTCCCACTGACTTAGAACCATCCTATGCTGAATTATCTATGATGAAGAATGTTAGAACGACTTCATGCGTTCTCAACTGGGCTGAGTATTCTTTTTTGTGGTGAGCAAATTTATTTTCAGCTACAAGATGCCAGATATGAAAATCTTATTCTTAGAATATTTAATTAGCACCCTGGGGCAAAGGCTGATAAAGTTTTTCATTTCTCATGAATATGGGGCAGTACATAGGAACCCTGCGGAAGCCTCCTAAATTTCTCACTTTTATCACCAAGGCTGTCTATCCCCTGCTGTCTGAAGCGTCTGTCCAGTTCCAGTTGTTGTCTCAGAGAGAAAGTACGGCAGGAAGGTGGGTCAACTGACCCCACTCAGGGGGGACGGTTGAAGGAGGCTTTGAGCCCAGGTGGGCCAGGGTTCTCAAAATTACTTAGAAAACAACTGTCTTCCATACACTCCAGTCTGCCTTGATTGTTCCAAATTAACAGGACTCATTCTAAAGCAAATTCTTTTGTTTGCTGATTCCCCTTTATTAAGCCTGAAACATTTAAGAGCACTAGAAATTTCCTTGCAATGCGTCTTCTACTGTATCTTGCACTTATTCATGGTTTGGTGGGAGACAATTCTGTATAGTGATGGAGGCTCTGGAATCAGACTGCCTGCATTTGAAGGACAGCTCTGCTTCCTATTAGCTATGTGACCTTGGGTAATTCAGTTCGCCCCTATAAGTGTCAACGATCTTATCTATAAAATGGGATAATAATCATACCTACCTCTTAGGATTGTTGTGAAGATTAGGCAATATGATGTGTGTACAATGCCTGCTGCAGAGTACATGCTCACTGTCGACATCAGTCAGGGTTTAGCCAGGGCAGGCAGAGATCATGGGCAGGCTTGACCCCAAGGCCATGGGCCAAGGATGCCATCCACGGTTATCAGGGAGGGAAGATCTCAGCAGACTGACACTACACGGGTGTGGTCTGAAGCTGCTGCCTACAGGCAGAATTTCTTCTCTCTCTGCGGAATGCCTCTGCCTAGCTTTTAAATCCTTCCAACAATACAGCCAGGCTCACTCAGGATAATCTCTCTTACTTACTGTCAACTGATTAGGAATGTTAATTACACCTGCAAAAGCCGTTCACAGCAGTTCCTAGATTAATGTTTTACTGAATAGCTGAGGACTGTAGCTTAGCCAAGGTGACATATTAAAAAGCCATCATAACTGTTAGCTGTTATTATCTGTATTAGTTTTCTGTGTCTGCTGTGACAAATTACCAAATATTCAGTGGCTTAAAACAACAGAAATTTATTCTTTCACAGTTCTGGAGGCCAGAAATCAGACACTGGGCTGACATCAAGGTGTCAAGAGGACTGTGCTCCCTCTGGGAACTCGAGGGGAGAATGTGTTCCTTACGTCTTCCAGCTTTTGGTGACAGCCAGCATTCCTTAGCTTGCGGCCACGTCAGTCCAGTTTCTGCCTCCATGGTCACGTTTGCTTTCTCCTCCTCCGTGTGCATCACATTTTCCTCTGTTTCTCTCTTATAAAGACACTTGTGATTACATTTAGGGTCCACCAAAATAATACAGGATAATCTTCCCATCTCAAGACCCTTAACTTAATCACATCTGCAAAGACCGTAGTTCCCTATCAGATGACATCTATAGGTTTCAAGCATGAGGACCTGATATTTTTGGGGACCATTATTCTGTCTACTACATCATCCTCTTCATGTATTTTTATAGCCTTCCTTTGTGCCAGGGACCTTGCCAAACTGTGAGGAATACTAAAACGGAATAGTTAACAGTTTGTATTAGAGACACAGAACCTAATATAGAAAATGTAAATATACATTTTAGAAGAAATTGGCCCATGTGATTATGGAGACTGAGAAATCCCACCATCTGCCATCTGCCAGCTGGGGACCCAGGGAAGCAGGTGTTGTAATCCCATTCCAAGTCCAAAGGCCAAGAACCAGGGGAACTGATGGCATTGGTCCTGGTCCAAGTCCAAGGGCAGGAGAAGACCAGTGTGCCAGCTCCATCAGTCAGGCAGAGAGAGTGACTTCCCCCTTCCTCCACCTTTTTGTTCTATTCTGGCTCTCAACAGATTAGATAATGTCCACCCACATTGTGGAGGACGACCCGCCTTACTGAGTCCTCCAATTCAAATGGTGATCTCGTTTAGATACAGTCTCACAGACATACCCAGAAATAATGTTTAGCGAAGTATCTGGGTACCCCATGGCCGAGTCAAGTTGACACATAAAATTAATCATCACGTAGTCTCTGCTTTAAAGGAGCCGGCTGGTGACAAATGGAGATTCTTCAGGCACATGAGCAGCCATAATACAAAGAGGAGAGTCAAAGTGCCTCAGGATGGTTATCTGTAAGGTGTTGCAGGATTTTAGAGGAGGGGAAAGACCACTCTCAATCGTGAAGCTCTAGAAAGCTTTCGAATGGGACCTTAATGGGTGAGATTGTTAGAGCAGTTGGTCTCAAATGCGAGCATGCGTCAGAATCACTTGGAAAACTTATTAAAACACAGGTTGCTGGGTCCCACCGCCAGAGTCTTCTATTCAGTAGATCTGGCGTAGGGCCTAAGAATGTGCATTTTTAGCAAATTCTCAGGTGATTCTGATGCGGCTGGTCCGGGTGCCATGACAAGCACTGCTGCAGACGTGTAAAGATGATGATGGTGGGGAGCATCCTCTCTCCTCCCTCAGGTTACTTTAGGTCACAATGCAGATGTCACTTTCTGAGAGATGCTCCTCCTTTAAGATAAAACAATGTTTGTCATTTTCACCCTGCTGGTTTTCTTCCTATTACTTATCATCACCATCACAGGGATGGCTGTCTATCTATCCTTCTGGAATGTAAGTTCCATGAGGGTAGAAACTCTAGGCTCCATAAATAAATGTTTGTCCAGTGAGAGAATGAATGATCTTCCAGGTCCCATGTAGCTGAAAGTTCTTTAACTCTTCTGACTTTGTTCCTGAAATGCTAAGCCAGTTACTGCATCCTGAGCACGGTTATTTAAATAGAATTAGATCATTCGAGTTAGTTATTTGAGAGGGGTTTTTCATTTTTACAACAAGATGTTCTGGCCAACACAGCCTATGCAGAACAGAAGATAATTTGGAGTTTCCTTAAGCAGTGGAGAAATGCTCATAAAGTAATTAGGATGGTTTAAATTCATTTAATTCTTAATATTTCCATTTTTGAATAAATATTTCATGCATTGCTCTTCAGCGAGGCAAAGAGCCAGGAAATTTCAGCAATAATATGTGTATAAAATTTCTTTTTTCCCTGCAGTAGCACATTTTGAAAGATATCTCGACAGGTTATGACAAGTAGAACAGGAAAATATTATTTTAATTTCCCTGGGTCAATTATTTAGAATTACTGAAAAATATACTTAAATCACACTTTATCAGTGTGATCCACTCTGAAGAGGAGGGTAGGTGAGAAAGGGCTAGACTGGTTTATCGTAATTAAGTTTGTGCCCAAAATGCCAAAACAAATCAAATGCATTGAACACATCTGTCTTGCGGCTACTGGATACAAGCGTGGAAAGGGGGATCGAGCCTGTCTAAATGAGGCTTGCTGCTTTGTAGCAGGTGGTAAAATCTAACGAAAATTTCAAGCAAAGTGCATCTTATGAGCTATTTTCCTAAATTTTCCCCTTAGAAACAGATGTCACGTAATTAACAGTAATGAAAACTTTGAACGTGTGGAAGGACATTTTGAATAAGCAGAAATTCATTTTAGTTGTTGAGTCTGATTACACTGCAGGTCTCTACCCTAGTTCTGTCCCCTCTACACAAGACTAGCAAGGTAGGAATGGGGTCTGGACAGGGGGTACATGCTCTAAGTGGAGTGGTGCAGGGGGTGGTCAGCTCATCTTGCTTTGCCTGGGACTGTCCCAGTTTTAGCACTGACCATCTTGAATCCTGGAAGATCTCTCTGTGCTAGGTTAACTTGGACAACTGGTCACCCTGGAAACAGGTTGGCTCCTTTATTAGGTGATGACACCGTATTATAGAGGCAGGAAACAGAGACTGGATGGCCAGCTCCCTGCCTTGGTGAAGAGTGATTTCTGCACAGGTGGGTCAAGCTCTAATGGGCCTTCCAGGCCAACTGGCCGCCATCTTCTCATTCTATAAACAGATAAACTCTGACTAAAGGAGCCAAATGACTAATTACGTATAAGTAAAGTAGCGTTTTTCTTGTGCTATTTCCTATTTTATTTTAAGCTTAAAAAAAGATGGACGACCTTAGGAGTTTTATTCTAACAGTTGACAATATTTGTTTTTTAAGATCATGATTGGGGGCCAGCTCCGTGGCCGAGTGGTTAAGTTCACGCGCTCTGCTGCGGGGGCCCAGGGTTTGGATCCTGGGCGCGGACATGGCACCGCTCGTCAGGCCACGTTGAAGTGGCATCCCACATCCCACAACTGGAAGGACATGCAACTAAGAAGTACAACTGGGTACAGGGGGGTTTGGGGAGATAAAGCAGAAAAAAAAAAAGATCATGATTACTTGACAAATAAGTCACTCTCCTGCCAAACTGGTGTTTAAATCTCCTAAACTTATACCAAGACTTTTTTACTTTTGTTGGTAAAAATACTATTTTAATTGTGTGTGTGCATGTGTATGTGTGTGTGTGTGTGAGAGAGAACAAATAATATACAATAGTATACTATTTTCTTTGAAATTTCCTCATTTCTTACCCCTACTATTGATGCTTCTCAACTGACTCAAAGGCTAAGAACCTTTCATTCCGGAGGCCAATTAACTGCCACTCATTTGTCTGTTGCCCTGGGGGCAATGGGGGAGGGGAGGGCACAGAGGAGTCTCAGACTGTAGCCTGCACCCACAGCCACGGGGTGAGAGAAGTGGGAGGTTTTGAGTGAGGTGAGTAGGGGGCCGCGCAGCCTGCATGGACACTGACACCTACTTTTTCTTCTTCCCAGCACCCTAGCTAACGGTCAATAAGCAACTGGATTTTTAGCTGAAGTCTTGTGTCTGCTCTCAAAAGGAGGAAGCGGTTCCTTGGACAGTCAGTGTGTGTCACAAGAGTGTAAACTGCCTACTCAGCATTAACTCTCTCCTTGTTCTTCGTGTTCACATTCCTAATTTTGTTTGAGGCAGCAATGTGAGTAGTTTAAGACACACCATTTCACAGTCTCACCGGGTTGGGTGGCTGTGTGGTAAAGTTCTGACCAGTGAGGTACAGGCAGAAAAGCCTCTCCCCTTCCTCTTTCTTCCCATTGGAAAGGGGTTATAATGCCTGGAGATGCAGCAGCCACATTGTGAGCAAGAGACAACAGGCATGATGAAAAGGCCAAGAAGTGTCACTCCAGTCTTGGCAGTGTTAAGCTGGTGGACTAACACCTACTCCCAGAATTTTTGTTAAATGAAATGACTTGGTTAAGCATGTTAGGAGCTATAGTGGTAGGGTTTTCTGTTTCTTACAAGTAATTGCTTCCTAACTGACCAGGATGGCATGAGATAGTGGAGAGAATGCTATAGCAGGAAGCCAGAAAACTGTTTCTTAGGCTTCTTTTTCCTGCTTTCTTTTTTCCCCTTGGAAACTTACCTTAAGATGTTCCCTTTAAACCAAGTCCTCAGTTGCCTTGTTTTGTTGTGTGGCACACAGTAGGACCTCTATCAATATGGTTAACTTTGCAAAATAGTATAAAAAGTAACTTACTATCCTAGTAAACATGGCTGAGCCCGATGATCTTGGAGACACCTTTTAGGTCTAAGATGTTAATCCAATCCCAAGTCATTTCTGAAACAGAATTTGGTATTTCAAGGAAAATTGGTGTGTGTTTGGGTGTATGTACGTGTTGCATGTATGATGTTTAGAATTAAAAGATAAAAATAGGGGCCAGCCCCATGGCTGAGTGGTTAAGTTTGTGTGCTCTGTTTAGGCGGCCCAGGGTTTCACAGGTTCGGATCCTGGGCACAGACATGTCACCACTCATCAGGCCATGCTGAGGTGGCATCCCACATAGCACAACCAGAAGAACCTACAACTAGAATATACAACTATGTACTGGGGGGCTTTGGGGAGGAGAAGAAGATGAAAAAAGAAGATTGGCAACAGATGTTAGCTCAGGTGCCAATCTTTAAAAAAAAAGATGTTTTATTTAAAAAATGTATATGTATCTGTGTGTATACACACATAGGAAAGCCTATGACAGATAATAGCAATAATGACCTTCTTTTGGTTTAAACCAGAGCTGATTTTCCGTCTGCTCCTTACTGCGTTTCTCTGGCAAAGATGCTTGTCTTCTCTGGCTGCATTGGGTTCAGTTACGGCAACTCTATGATGTAGTTTGCCTTTCTACCCAAGATTTCTGTTAAAATTGATTGATGTTGATGAATTGCATCGAGCTTCATGGAGACGCAGGATTATTGCAACCTAGGGAAGGAGGGGCCATGCTGTGTGATCAAGACAGATGAGTTTATAGCAGAATCTTTAACAGAGTCTTTAACAGAAATCTCCAATTTTTGTGTTCCTAAGCTGCATCTGTACATGGACCCGAGTTCTTGATCTTCATGCCCCACGGCACAGTGGAGCTAAAATGCAATGAACTGGAAGGACTGCGCTTTGGGTCTATGTGATGTCAGGGCTGTTGCCTGGACACAGAAGCAGGCAGGGCTTGGTGACTTCTTAGAGGTCATAAAATCCATCCACACCAGAGATGACCTCGATGTCATCCAGGATGCCAGGCCGCTGTTCAGTATAATTAACTCCAACCAGTGGGAATTCTCAAGAGGGGCAGCCTCTTCCTCCATATTGATGAGCTGTTGAAGAAAAAGAACTGCTTATCAAGATAATTATCAGTGTGCTGCCAATAATTCAGTGACGCTTTGAAGATATTTGTCAGTGTAGTTGTTTTGCAATAGAAGGAAAAAATGGTTGATTGTCATAGTTCTTCAAGCTGAGAAACAAAATGACAGAGATCATTTCAGTTTCTTATCCCTGCCCAGCCTGCTCATAAACTCCTTTATGTCCCTCTACCTCCTGTTCCACCACCAGCGCACCCTCCATTTGATATTAATATTTTTCATGGGGCGGCTGGCTCCCTTCCTCTTGTTCTCCCCGTCATGGGCTGGCTACACAGTTGATTTACCTCTGGTTTCATCTTTAGAGTTCCAGCTGGAACTTCTGCTCTTGCAGTCAGTCCCCGAAGGTAGGGTAATGGAAGCAGCTAGGACAGTCACTTTAAAGGCATCTTCACCCTCTTGGCGAGACAGGATGCAAGTAAACGTGTGTGAAGAAGAATCTGCATGATATTTCTTATATTACTGTGAGATTAGAAGGGAACTTTGGATTCAGGTCATTGGAGCCCATTCTTCTTTTTTTTCCCAATGAAGCATCTTTGTTTACATGAGTTTAAGTATCTTGTCAAGTGCACACGCCTTTAAAACTCAGCCATCATTGAGGTATGATGAGTTTGTTGGAGCTCGTGGAGAACGTTTATCAAACTTTTTATGTTGAGTGTTTTCTTTGTACTTTATGTCATTTTATTGTCTGTTTCAAGAATGCTGGACCCAAACCATGAATCAAGAATGTTATATCATCCTGGAAGGCAATATTGAGCAGAAGTTAAAAGCACAGGCTTAAAAAAATTATATATGCATGACTTCAGTGTCTGATTCTGCCTCTTCCTAGTTGTCTGGTTTTAGGTGAGATACATAACCTGCCTGGGCCATAACTTTAAAATGGGGAAAATAGTTCCTATCCCCTGGGATACTTGCTAAGGGGTAAAATGAGATAATGTAGGAATAGCAGTTAACACAGGCCTTGACATAGAAGAAGAACTTAGTAAATGGTGTGTGTGTGTGTATGTGTCTGTGTCTGTGGGCTCCCTCATAACAAAGAATTTGGAAATAAATTGGTGTCTAGGTTACACACTCATACGTTTACTTAGTCTTGTTAGCATTGTGCAATTTTTGTAACTATAAGTATGTTTCTATGCCTATATAAATGTGAATATATATGGGAACTTTATTTCTATTTAGCATCTGGTAGCAAGTTGCCATGTGGTATAAATTTCCAACTTTTCTTTAAATTATCCCATATGCATTTAATTACTCTTATTTTCTCTAGTCCGTCCTTCACAACAGACTAGTTTCGTTTTTTTCAAAGCATAAATATTCTATATGCCAAAACCTTCATTAATTCCATAGCCCCTCACAGTAAGCGCTGCCTCAGCAGCATGGCACGCTTCCAGTTGGCTCTAACTCAGAATTCTAGTCTCATCACCTTCCATTTAGGCTTCCCCCACTAATTTCACGCCAGGATCTAGCCTCTTGCTGTCCTCAAACACATCTTACTCTTTCATATCTCCATGCCCTTGCATGAACTATTTCCTCCATCCGAACACCTTCCACCTTTTCCTCACAAGGTTTGCGAAACCCTAATCCTACTTGAGGTCCAGCTAACATGTCACTCCTTTCCCCACAACTTTCATCTCCTAGAGGTTCTCATTTCTGTACCTTTGTCATAGCTCCCGTTTCATTGGATTGTAATCATTTGTTATGGGAGTTTCTCCTCCACTAGATTGAACTCATGTGTATCTGCAGTGCCTAACACAGAGCCAGCAATGTGGCAGGATTCCAGGACATATTTTTGCTGAATATCGGAAGGAGTGTGTGTAAGCATAAAACATAGAACATAATGTTCACATTAAAACAACAACAAGCGATATATGATTTCTTCTGTTTTTAACCAATAATAAATAGATACAATTCACTTTTACTTCATTATTAAATAAATATTACAGCATGTACTTTAAAGGTATCTGGTAGACTTTAGCAGTACTGTCTCTCAATAGAATTTGTGCAACGATGGAAACATCTATGTTGTCCAGTGTGGTAGCCACTAGCCACGTGTGGCTCTTGAGCACTTGGAGTGGCTAGATCAACCAAGGAACTTAATTTGTAATCTTTTTTAATTTTAATTAATTTAAATTTGAATGGCCATATGTGGCCAGCGCCTGCTGTATTGAAGAGTGAAGCTCTATAGTACTTTGTGAAAAATTCTCAGAGTTCACGTACAGGTTCAAGGGTTATTTTAAGGACGCCCTGGATTCAGGAAGTAAATTGGTATCATCACTTGAGTCATCTGAAACACAAAACAGAATCCATCTGAGTTTACGAATTATTTTTATTTATATGAAATGTTAACTCACTTTTAAAAATTATTCTATTTTGCTTAGCTTCATTAAATATTGCATGATAGGGACCAAACTAGGGAAGCAATATTTGTGTTCATTCAAATAGAATTAACCTTTCTTTTCCTCCCTCAGGATTGGTTAAACGATTTGGTTTCTAAGCTCATGCTAATAGGTAATTTCTTTGGTTCTACAGAGCACAACAACAAACAGGCGCATTCCAGTACCGGGAAGGTGCTATTCAGTGGTACAGGACTCCAAGGGGCGGCTCAGTAAAGCAGAGGTCAGTGTCATCTCTTGTTCCATTGGTGCGCCATTTGACCCTGCGAAGCGATAATTTCCTCAATTGCACCCTAGTCTGAGTGTTAATTCAGCTTCCAGAGATTTCTGATTTAATGTCAAGAAGTAGATTTTACCCTATGAAACCTAGGTCTACAAATTTTATTTCCTTTAAATGTCTAGATTAAGAAATCACAGCTTTCAAAGTGCAACTGCAAATTAATAGACGGAGGAGTCGTCAACCATGAATCGGCTGACCAAACTGCATATGTGTGAAGTTTTTTTCAGATGCTAAGAATCCTTTGACTCAGTTTCTGGGAAACTAGAAGCAAGGTTTGGTGATCAATTTCAGTATTAACTATCTCAGGAGGCTAGTTATATCTGCTTCTTTATTCATTTTAATTTCATTGGTCTTCTTTCATTTTTATTGCCTTGTTTCATAACGTGGTTGGTTTTGTAAGCTGTAGCTGGTAGTTGCAAATTTCTCCTCTCCACACTTAGAAGTGCAGAAAAAATGCATTTCTTTTGTGACTTTACTGACTAATAATATCCCATATGAGGCTCACATTTTGCATGAGATAAAGGGAATTTATTCAGTCCAATGTGGAAAGTTTAATAGTCCCTTTAAGTAGAAGTAGATTCTGAGGTCCTCATTTTTTCTGATTTTCACAGCTCCTCTATTTTTCTCCTTTCCCAGAAGCTACTGGGTGTGTAAGTGAGTGTGGCTTACATGGCCTCAAGTGGAGGTACTGCTTGTGAAGTCATGGGGTCGGGTTCTACATGCTCTTTCTGTAGGAGGAGAGCAGCTGTCGAGGGGCTGAGAGGGCTGCTCTTTGGGCTGGTGAGTGTGCTGATGGGTGACAGGTCCCATCTGTTGGAAGAGAATGCCCTTCTCTGCTCTCGATTGCCGTGAAAGCGATTTTCCCAAAGCACATGCTGTGGTCACTTGCCTCCCCCGCCCCATTCCCTCCTGCAGAGGTGGAGCGAGGGGCCTGGCTGGAAGGCAGCAGTTTTCTTCATTGGAGAGAATTTAGGCAACGTCTGGAGTGTGAGCCCTGTGCTCCTTCTCAACAGGAAGCAATGTCTAGGGCAGGTAGGTGGGCCTTGCACACTCATACTCTTCTGTGTGTGCTGTCTCAAGTCTGAACACGGACCTGAGTGGGGAGTTACCAGGACCGTTTGGCTCTCACACCAAGTTGCATTCTTTGATGTATCTGCACCACTACTGAAAGGGATGTGTCAAACTCCATCTTTACTCTTCCATTGTATTTCTCAGACTCTAGATCCTGGATGGGTGGGTGGGGTTAGGAAGAGGGATGCCACTAAGATACTCCCGACATACTACAGTGTCCTTCTCAAAAATATGAAGAAATAAAAAGACTTTGGAAAGACTTTTGGGAAGTTAGAAAGATGAATTACTTGACCTTAACTTTAACACTTTCTTTCTTCCTTCTTTCTGTCCTCTTGCTTCATTTTTCTTTTTTTCATTTCGGTTAATGCCCAATTTAGATTATTTGCTCAGGCTTTGGCCAATGGAAGGAATGTATCCCTGTTGCATTTCTCAGACAGATCTGAGGGCCGCTGGTAGGTCTTTGGCTTTGGGATGGTAAGCTTTGACCTTTGTCAGGGGTCAGGACAGGACTGATCCGGAAATGAGGTGCTCATCTCCCTTTGCATTCTTCCGTTGACTTCACTGACACTCTCTCCCCACCATTACACGCAGATTTTGCTTGTGAATCTTAGAGAATCAGATGGCAGCTTTACAGAGATGAATGAACTTTGTTCATGAACAAAAGAAAATGAGACCCCTGCTGTGTTGGTATCAATCTCATCTTGGATAGAGGAGCAGGAAACTTGAAAAGTCGTCACAGATTCAAAGCCCAACAGAAGAAAAAGATCCTTAAAGAAAGTTGTGTCCAAGATACTTCACTCCTCAGAATTAGACTGGCACGAAACAAGAATGCCCACATTTGTGAATGCCATGAAAGTATTTTGCATGTTGTTCTCATCTGTTTTGTGGGGGTGTTGTAATACTTACCTGACAGAGTTGTTTCTGACATTGAGTGAAACCATGTCGCAGAGAAGAATCATTTGAGCATGTGTGACTCACTCTTGTGCCTCTACAATAGGACAGATCACCGCCTGTCATTGTGTGATTGTGAGCATAGCGATTGAAACAAGGATTGTTAAGTTCACGAATGCCAGGAACTTGATGTATTTATAGGACCCTGTAGCATATTCTTTTGTAAAGCAAGCAATTCTTTTGTAATTTTAAGAGGCAATTCCTGATTTTTTTTATTTTTATGGTTTAGGTAGTTTACTGCATTTCAGTTTTCTTAAAAAAATGGCACCTATCTTCATTTTGCCTTTCCCAGTAATGAGTATGGATGTGCTATATTCTGTTGGGTTTAAGGAAGCACAGGCGTTTTTAGAGAAACTCTGCCATACTGGGCTTATTTCAGTGAGAGAGAAAATTCAGTTTAGCAAATTATTGTCTGTTTTGCAATAGATGATGGAAATGGCAGTGAGAAATGGACTGTCAGATTGGTGCTGGTCTGATGTGTCTTCCCAGCTACTATGTAAGCATTAATGAGCAGAGTGCAAAAACGAAGTTATTTTGAGGTGCAGTGCATGGTTACTTTAGAATAATATAGCCATCTACATTCAGGCTCAGGCAAATCAAACCTTGAGCTAAAGCTGCGTCCTGATTTTCTGAGCCATATGTGATGCTGAGAGTCACTCGAATTAAAATTCTGCAATGTGACACAATGGAAGAAATGATGAATTACCCGTTTCAGATCTGTTCCTCTACTGCCATTTCATCAAATGTCCAGATGAATAATTAGTAATCATAACTTCACCTTGGCAAGTATTTATTGAGCACCTATAGGTGCTTGGGACTGTGAAGGATACAAAAGCTTTCAGCAAGGTCTTTACCTCATGGACTGCAGCTGATAGGAAAGGACATGCTCACAAGAACAGTTAAGGAATGACATAAGAATTTAAAATTAACTGTCCAAGAAATTGGTAGAAACAATAGTTTCTTTAAAGAGTTCAAAGGAAGTAGAGATTGCTGTGGGTTTAGGAAGCTGAAGAAAACTGGCTGTGAAGAATGGTAAGACAGTAGAGGTCAGGACGTGAGGATTAAATTCAGAGCAGGGGGAAGACAGAAGAGGTAAAGGGCGGATATAGGGCTACAGTAGGCTGATTAGCTTGGCGGGTGAAGAAAGCCTACGGGGCAGAGTCCTGATTGTGAGGTAAGACTGAGCCAGAGAGTAATGGGCAACTTTAACAAGTTCCTGAAAGCTAAATGGAGGATTTTTGCTTCCTTCTGTAGGCAGGTGTGAACCACTGGAGAAAGCCACTAGCCTTGTAGGCAGCCATTGTGGTTTTTGGGATGTGCGTGGGCATGAGTGAGTGTGTGCAGAGCTGTTCAAGATATTCACTGAGGAACAAGAGGTGGAGTGCTCTATTGTGGGGGGCAATTCTGGATTAAGTTTCTAGGAAATGCTCTTTCAGACCAAGGAGTGGGGATAGCAGTGACTGGCAAAAGAAAGCCAGCAAGGTGGTTTACTCACTATGGAGCGTCTTCCTAAGGTAAAGAGAAACCTCCATGGATGACTTTGGTTCTTTGCCAAGAAAGAAAAATCTAAAGACCCAGTCATATGAGGAGTGTTCTTGTGGTTGCAACCTAACTTATGTGGCCAGTTTCTCCACTGGCTTTTCACTGAATTACAATCATCTTGAGGTTGCCTATCTCCAGCCCAAGAAAGACAATCGGCATAGAAAAGGTTAAGAAGGGAGCTTTCCTTGGAACTTCAAACAGTTACCAAGCCAGTAGGCTTAATATATACTTTTATAATCTCATTTTCTTCATAAACCTAAAATAACTCCTTAATTCCAACTTTACTCTTGGTAAGTCCCTTTATGGATCAGAACCCACTTTGTCTGTCTACCTGTCTGTCTGTCTATCTATCTATCTTTCTATATACCATCTCATCGAGTTTCCAGTATTATAGATTTCTATTCTTTATTTTAGTTGGGCTAGTCTCCACACTAAATTCTATGACACCATAACTGTTCCTGTTTCCATGGACCCATCGTTGTTTCCTTAGCCTGGAAAGTGCCCAATTTTAAACTTGGATTCAAATCCTACTCATTCTCCAAAAATCCATCTGAACCCCCACCTGCTCCATGAATTTTTCTGCCTCAATTTGAACCTGGAATGATATCTATTTTCTCTGGATCTTTAAAGGACTTGAAAAACATAGAGTATAGGATTAGAAAGGACCAAACCATTAGAATTCAGAAGACTCTAGAACATACTGAGTTATAGACTTTGTAATTGTACTTCTAGTTCTATTTTAAAAGGATCAAGACTATTAACTTGCAGGGGTCCAGCCTCTGTTTAATATATGTCTAGTGGCAGGGAAACGTCAGCCCCTTCCTTTTGTCTCAGAGGGGTTTTTCTTGTCTTCCTGTTAGACTATAGGGGCAAGGCAGAGAATATGCTTATATGTCTTTACATTGGGTGATGCATCACAAATTTATTGAGCAGCAACTGTCTTTCAGGAATGGTACCAACGACTGGAAATTCTAAGATAAAAAAACATAGTCCCTTACTACAAGGTGCTCATAATGTACTGTGAAAGTGAGCCTGGTCCGTAATAGGTGATCAATAAACGTTTGTTGAAAAAGCAAGAAGAGGCAAGAAATCCCACTGTTATGACTGACTCTTTAGAATACGGTCTCCTGGGTTAGGCTGCTTGGCTTTAATTCTTGGCTCTGACATTAGCTGTTTACTAAACTGTCTCAGTTGCCTCATTATAAAATACAATATTAGATGTGAATGAGACAATGTATATAAAGTACTTTATACAGTGTCTGACTCATAGGCTCGCCATAAACATGATGATGATGATGACAATAATGAATTTGACTTATTGGATAGTGGCACATGCAAAATGCTGTGGGAACACAGAAGAGGGGCATTCCACTCAGACC